AAAATATTATTCAAAATAGTTCAAAATTTGAATTCAAATTTTATAAACAAAATATTCAAAATAATTTAAAGTTTTTGTCTAAATATAGAATAATACGTCACGGCTGAGTTATGCTACATTGCGGCTGAGTTATGCTACATTACGGATGAGTTGTGATATACATTCTCGAGATTACAAAAAGTGGTTTTTGGGAAAGATCAACAATAATTACGTACACATATTCACACGCATATGCATAATAAAGTCATAGAGTATTATGTTTAAGAAATTATATTCAAAATAATTCAAAATTTGAATTGAAATTTTCTAAACAAAAAATATTTCAAAGTTTTGTGTCTGAATATAGAATAATACATCACAACTGAGTTATTTACTTTTCAAGGTTGACTAATGACTAAAACTTTAATTTAAAGGGACACTTGAATGTTAACATTAGCACTGGTTATAATAATGTAGAGATTAAATATATTATAATACAATTAACAAAAATAAATAACAGCTCTTTTACATTCTATATTTGATCAACTGTGTAGGAATATAACATAAGTATAGGGTTTGGGGTTTATCGTTTTGTTGGATAAGTTTTAAAAGGTACAAACCTGAGCGAATTTCATGATTTTTGATGGAAAGTTAATAAAAGTGTTAACTACATATTATTAAAGTGTTTTTATTACATGAGTGCATCAAATATTCACATCTACCATATTTGAGGTTTGGCCGAGTTATGCCAATGACATGGTTGACTTATTGTAGAATAATTCGAGGTTTGGCCGAGTTATGCCAACGACATAGCTGACTTAACGTAAATAAATTTGTGGTTTGGCTGAGTTATGCCAGCGTCATGGTTGACTTACACAGACCATTTCGAGGTTTGGCTGAATTATTGTAACGATAACATGTAGCTCATTGTTACATGATGGCTCAACTCATTCAATCTGTAGTCATCGAGAACCAACTTCACAAGCTTTTTGTGTGTTCTTTCAACATCTATCTGCACAACTCTACACCCTTTATCGTCGGCTTTAAAATACATATTTGTGTTTTTTACCCAATTACCATAAACAACAATTACTAGAACCAGATCCATCAACAAAAATGAAGAACAGAAATGAAGAACAGAAGTGAAAATGAAGAACAGAAGTGAAGTGAAGAACAGAAAATGAAGAACAGAGTGTAAGAAAAAACACGAGCTAATGGGGGACCTTTCGTATTTCCCTCGTTTATGCTGACGTGGAATGTGCATTTGAAGTCGTAAGTCAGCCACCAAACAAACTTTAAACTCAGCCAAAATAAATCAGCCATCAACACAAACTAAATCAGCCACAACATGAAAAATATTTAAGTAATTACTAAAATGTTTTTTAAGATGCCAAATTCAGCCGTAACGTCAATAAGTCAGCCGTAACGTAAAATAAGTCAGCCGTAACTTGAGGCTATATTAGCAATAAATCTTTTGTCTATAAGTCAGCCGTAACATGGTTGAGTTTTCCGTTAAGTCAGCCAATTACGACTGAGTTATGTCTTTGATACATAAGTCAGCCGTAACGACATTTGATAACTCAGCCGTTGTCGATAACTCAGCCAACCGGAGAAAGTTAAGTCAGCCGTGTCGATAACATAACTCAGCCAAACTTCTGATAACTCAACCATCGGACTATAACTCAGCCGTAACGGCGGCTGAGTTATTAGCCGTTTTCTCATAACTCAACCAGATTTTTATAAGTCAGTCGTAACTGTTGGCTGAGTTATGATTGTAAGTCAACTGTTGATCCGAAACTTAGCCGTTGTCCCAGAAATCAGCCGTAACGTACGTTATGGCTGAGTTATTGGTGGCACGCGCCTTTTTGTCTGACGTGGCAGTGGCATTTTTCGTAATTAGTTTTTTCCGGTAACTTGTAAAAAGGGCACGCTGGTAATTAAAAAACATTTAAGGATAAAAAAAAGTTTTGGATGGTTTCCGTCAATACACCTAAAATGTAGTCCATCTAAGTAATTCTTTCGTTTTTAAAAACACATATTAGTTATAAGTTATACGTGTGTTTCACTATATATAAAATCCAAACTCTATAAACATAATTAACCTGTTAATCAACCAGTATCATCTCCAAACTGGAAAACACGGAATCTATGTTCTGTTTCCACAAACATAAGACTTTCACACGTACGAACCATTCATATTTGGATTCAGACGGCATACGTCATCTAGACGCACGAATGTCACCATAGTCTTATGCAAAAGTCAGAAAGTATGTTGAATTAAAAACTGACGTGTTTATATATAGATACAAAAACAAAGGAACGATTTAGATTTTAGGTTAAGAATATTACATTATTAAACATTATATACGTAAATAAAGGAAAGATAACATTTAATATTATGTTGATATTATCAATTAAGAAATTTAACTTTAATAAATGGTAGAGCAATCTAAAAGATAGCAGAGTAATATATTAAATTATATGACATTATTTGTTATTAAGTTATTATGAATAATAAGTCTTAATTAACTTAACAACAACACATTAAAATTAAACAACAGTTATTTAAAAAAAAAAAAAACTTAAGTAGCTAACGATAAAGACGTCTTTCTTAAATCCTTAATACGGTTTCAGAAGTTATCACCCACCACCTCGTCAATCTCATGTGCTGCCAGATAATAGATGAACTGAGTCCTGTACATTTATTATGATACAAAGTGTTATGCAATATCTTAAAGAATATCGAAATTTCAAAATAAATAAGGTTAACTCGCAGGAATGATTGTTGGTCGATTTCGGGAAACTCTTCATTGAGGAATATTCTAGAACATCCCATTCCAGAGAGCAGGCAGTGTTTACCTAATCGATTTCATAACAGCCAATTAGATCCGTATACGATTATAACTAACAAATGGACACTACTAATCTAAGTAGATTACCTTTGTATTCAGAAATCCTAAAAAACCGTAGCAAGCACGTTATAGGGTCCATGCCATAACTCCAGCGATAACCAATATCATATCCTAGATTCCTCAGTTTAACTAAGAAATCATCACAGTCTCTTTCCGACAACCACACAAAGCATGTATTCCCCTCTAATATAGTCACGGTAAGACAATATGTTTTTGTCTGAATTAATTACGTAACATAAAGCATATATAACTATATATAAAAAACGACACACCTGGCATCTTTTAGGCGGAAAGAGATGGCATTACAAACGCCATGAGGTTCATTTTCAGTAGCCACGTACGGGATGCTTTCCATGCGTCCGACATCTAACTCAAATTATACAACAAATTTATTAAACCATAAATATAATAAATACTAAAAAAAACAATAATTGTGTGTGTAACGATTCTAAACATACCTTGACAAATATTCCGGTTAGGTCGCCAGCCACGGAGGATGTTCCTAAATAAGACAAAGTTGAAGAAAGCACTCTCAGACAGTGAATTGATTTCATACATCATAGTGTCCTCAATAAACTTGATATGGAAACCATTGTCTGAGTTTAACTGACCATCAGAGAGTACAGGAATCACTCTGAAGTCTTTTATATAAAACCAACGTCCTTCAACCAGTTGATGCCTGAATTCTCTTGTGTAAATTATGCCTGGTACAGAAGCATCGATCCTTGTGCCCTGATTTCAATTAAACACGAGTAAGAATACATCTATAATCTAACGATCAAGGAGTTTGTTTCCGTGAATCTTACCATCTCATCTGCTAGGATCATCCAAGGCACTTGCCATTGACTATAAGCAGGCGGATACCAAAGACTTAATATCTTGACAAATACCATAACATAGTTAATTCCAGGACGGAGATCCAAAATAAAACGTAAATTAGGGATCAGAACACCTTGAATGGTTCTCATTGCCATACCGTGGTTCTGATTTGGCAAAAATAAGAGGAGACTTTTATTTTTCTTTAGGTAGGAAGAAGATAAAGAGGTTGAAATAGCTGTTGTAATTTATTTTATGTAACAATGAGAATTTTTAAATCGTATATATGTCTTTCAGATTGAACATCTATGTCTGTTACCGATAAAGTTTTTTTTTTCTACTCAGGCGTGCACATCTAATCAGTAGTTATATAGCTTGGATAGGGTGATAATTTATGTCCGAGAGAGGGTTAGTCTACATTATATAATTTTATGTAACAGGAGTCAAAATTTGAATCATAACATATATTTTTTACAATATAGATTAAAAATTGATGTTTACATAATCCATTATGTCTAATATAAATTTTGATTTTCATAACATCTTTATATTTAGATGATAATAGATATGGTCGACAAAAAATAAAAGATGATAATAGATATGAAATACCCACTTCAGTCGATTGACGAACCAAAATGATGAGTTATCATCTTCTGTATCGCAAAAGATGAGGCCAGTATGAGTTATCACATCAGATTGTCACAACCCTGAATCTCTCTACATAATCTGACAAAATATGAAAATGTAACGTAACCACATATCTAGATTCACCTTCTCGTTTGATGACTAATATATTTTTTTCTTTCCGTAACATTGATTAAAATTATAAAATATCAGATCATAATTTAGTTAAATAATTTTAGAATATAGAACAAAATAAGTCTTTAGATTTCATAACATAGTAAGCATAGACAGTTTGAAGAAGTTTTAAAACAACAACCACAAAACATCTAAATGGTAGATGCCTTCATGCCCTCATCTTCAACACTCCTTGCAACACTAAGTTTGATACACGAACAACATACGAACTACACGTATCGAAAAGAGGTTTTCTAATGATTATCCTGATTAAATATAAAACTGTAACGTAGCCACATATATAGATTCATTATTTAATTCTCATCTTCTCGGTTGATGACTGATATATTTTTGATGCGTGTTATTGTTTAAGATTATAAAAATAAAACGACATCATAATTTAGTTAAATATTTTGAAAATCTGAAGCAAAATAAGTCCTAAAATTAGACAACATAATAAGTCTTAACATTACAAGAAACTTGAAAACAACATCCACCACATATCTAGACAGTAGTTGCATTCATGCCTCCATTCTCAACATTCCTTGCAACCCTACGTTTGATTAAAAAGAAACAGACGAATATAGACATTAATTATAATTTTATATATGTACAATATGTTTATATCAAGCTTACATTTCTTCGATTTCTAGTGCCTCAAGTATGTTGGGGTCTGGAAAGACAGTAGAGACTGGTCCATGTGTACAGAGCCTGAGGTTTCTGGGGCCATCGAAAAATCGATCAACCTTCCACCAACCAAGTACAGCAACGACAACAACACCAGTATACTGACGATAGTTACGTTCGAAATCAAGTGCCTCACATTGCGTGGCCACACATTCCAAAAGTAGACCGCTTTAATCCAGAAATTTCCAAATCGAAAATCATTACATGAATACTGAAACCATATAATTGTGTTAAATATATATATAAGGTCTTACTCTCTGTCTTTCAATTTAAAAGTGAGACGAAGACCATCAATATTATGACGGTTACGGGAGACGTTCTCTAAGTCACCTACTTCGTGAATAGCACCAACAACACCTATTGTAAGAATAAATATCAAATGTTACTAAGAAAACTATATATATGCATGTTAACTTATGGATTGTCGGGAGAATAACTTACCAACCAAGACGGAAGTATCCACTTTATCAACCATAATATCAGAGAAAGAGACTAAGGAGCTAACCGGATTGGCAGGAATACCGAGTGCTGGTCTTAAAACAGTGCTTTCGAGGAAGACGGTTTTAAACTTGTGGTCAGTCGCTCTGATGAGTTCAGAGTTCAAAATAACACCAAAATTCATGATTGTCACCCAATCACCTTGTTCAAGAACAACATCGTAATAAGCAGAAAATTTCTTGCCAATTACCGCCTCTATCATCATCCCCTAAGTACATATTTTTAAACCTAAACAGATATACGGAAGTAATAAACATAGGGTTTCTAAAATTAAGTTATATCACAAATTATTAGCAAACATGTTCATTAGATAGGATTAGGCCCAATATCTTCTGGGCAGCAGGTAGTGGACGCCTGAAACAACGCACTACTTTCAGACGAACATACCAACCAGTAATGGTCGGATCGAGAGAAGCTAGATGATGAAAGCTTTTAAAGATCTTGATTAGAATAAGTTTTTAATGACTTATTATATATGAAAAGGGAGAGGCGTGAAGGAATGTAAAGAGACGAAACAATGTATAGAGACGACGTTCAGAGGCGTCGTTCGAGGTAATTTATTACGAATTTAAATTTATATAATATAATTTAGTCGGTAATTATTACTGTGTAGGTATGTAAATATGCATATTTTTGTCCGATTCGATTTGTAAATATTCCATATTCTAGGGATATTCTAGGGATATATATATAAGTTTTCATAAGTTTTCAAGTAGAGATAATTATACATTCATATTATCAGGTTCAATAATGTATTAATTCCATTTTTAGGGCTAACAGATTATTTATTTTTTGTTTATTGTATAAATTATCTTGTTAAATATAAACAGAACTAAATTATAATACACTTCTAGATAATTATCGTCTAAATATAAATACTTTGTCTATTACATATTTCCATAACATCATAAATTATCAAATTTCGATAATGTAAAAATTCCATAACATCAGAAAAAAGTTTTATCGTCTTGATATGTATTAATATTATAATTATGCAGGTTCAATAATGTATTAATTCCATTTTTAGGACTAACGTTTTTCTTTTGTTTTTTTTTATTGTATAAATTATCTTGTTTACATATAAACAGAATAATTAATAATAGACTTCTAGAAAATTATTTTGTAAATATAAATACTTTATCTATGACATATTTCCATAAAATCATTAATTATCAATTTTCGATAATGTGAATATTCTATAACATCGGAGAAAAGGTTTATCGTCTTAATATGAATTAATATAATATTAAATATTATTATTGCAATAAAGAGTTCTCTGTCATTGTTCCCGAGTTGCGTGCATGATGTTCCCGAAACCATCATGGCTAAAGCCATTAGAACGAATCATATCTTTGATAACATGATGACAATATGACTTCAGTTCCAAATTACCTATCTCCTGACCTATAAAGAAAATATAGATTAAGAACGATAACTGACAATTAGGTGGTATAGGGTGAAAGAAATAAATTTACCAACCAGTATTTCGACATTCAACTATTAATTGAATCCGTAAGTCCCTGCTTAGAAAAGTCCACGTTCTATCCCAAACTCGGGAACATATTTCCAAACAGGTGAAATATTTCATGTATAAGATGAACAAATTTCGGAGATCTTGGGGTTACGCAGTGACCAGATTGCGTGATGATATTGTAAATACATTCTTTAGTAGAGAGGACATTGGCTCGAGGAAATATGATTTTTCCATGCTCAAATGACTTGTTGATTGACACACCCTAACACCAACTGCGACAGAACGATATAATATACGTAATCAAATTTATTAGAAACAGTTATGTAAAGTAGAGATAAACATGGATATCAAATTTTATCAAGCACTCGGAGTATATATTAAAAATAACAAAATTTATTAAGCACTCGGAGTATATATTAAAAAAATCTAAATACTTAAATTCTTACCACATCATCAAATATTTTCAGCGCAAATTCCGCAGATCCTAAATATAACAACAAAAGTGGTAAGGATGATAATTTATAATGGGCATAGAAATTTAAAGAATATCAAGGGCGAAATTTGAAGTATATCAAGCTATTAAATAATATTTTTTACAAAAATATTTACCTTCTCAATATCGGGACCAGACAGCAACAAAGTACCATCCTGTAGTAGATAATAAGTTAATATGAATGACTATATGTAATTGAATTAATATACGTCAAGATTTAGTAACAACGACATTAGTTAAATTAAACCAAACTTCTCGTAGATATCCATCAAATATTCTGCATAAGAACCTCTTCTCACTTTAGCAGCAAGACAGGGATGGAGTTTAACTCAGATGGATGTCACTAATGCTTTCTTGCATAGTGATTTAGAGGAGGAGATCTATATGAGTCTTCCTCAAGGGTATACAACAGCTTCAGGAGATCTCCCATCTAATCCAGTCTGTAGACTTCACAAATCAATATATGGATTAAAGCAGGCTTCTAGGCAGTGGTACAAGTGTTTATCTAAAGCTTTGTTGGATGATGGCTATACTCAGTCCTATGCTGACAACACATTATTCTCAAAGCTGTCAGGTACTTCTTTCACTTCTGTTCTGGTCTATGTGGATGACATCCTGATTGTTAGCAATAATGATGAAGCTGTGATAGCTGTTAAGGATGCTCTTGCTAGACAATTCAAAATTAAAGTTCTAGGTCCAGCTCGTTTCTTCTTAGGACTTGAGATTGCTCGCAATTCACAAGGCATTTCAGTTTGTCAGAGAAAGTATTGTCTAGATCTTCTGGCTGATTCTGGTTTACTTGGCTGCAAGCCAAAATCTACTCCCATGGATGCTAAAGTTCCTTTATTAAAAGATACAAGTATTTTGCTTCCTGATGCTACACCCTATAGAGAATTAGTTGGTTGATTACTATATCTTTGCATCACAAGGCCAGACATTACCTTTGTTGTGCATAAGTTGAGCCAATTCTTATCTTGCCCTACCGATATGCACTACAAAGCAGCTTTACAAGTTCTGAAATACTTGAAGAAAAATCCAGGACAGGGATTGTTTTATTCAGCTAAGACTGATCTATGTCTTAATGGTTTCTCGGATGCTGATGGGGAACTTGCAAAGAGACTCGTCGATCTATTTTTGGTATGTGCGTGTTTCTTGGTACGTCTTTGATTACATGGAAATCCAAGAAGCAAGATGTTGTTAGCAGCAGTAGCACAGAGGCAGAGTATAGGAGCATGGCGATGACCACAAAAGAACTTCTATGGCTGAATCAAATGCTCAAGGACTTACATATCACAGTGGAGGCCAAAGCGAAGTTATTCTGTGACAACAAGTCAGCTATACACATTGCTAATAATGCAGTCTTCCATGAACAAACTAAACATGTGGAAATTGACTGTCACATTAGTTGGGATCAGGTTAAGAATGGGTTTCTCACTGTCTTACATGTTTCTACACAGAACCAACTGGCAGATATACTCACTAAACCTCTTCATCCGGGTCCATTTTACTCCATCCTCAACAGATTAAATGGTTCAAGCCTCTTTCTTCCACAAGGAAATTCGGCTTGAGGGGGGTGTATTAACATATAATGATATACGTGTTATAGTATAAGTTTCCTTTTGCTTAGCTATAATAAGTAATCGTATATATACTGTACATTGTACACTTTATTGAATAATGAGAAATCTATTTCACAATAGTTAATAGTCTCTGCTCAGGGTTGACAACTTTTCCTCAGTTTTCAACGAGAATTGAAAAGCTCTATCTCTATGGCTTGCAAGAGGTTGAAAAACATGTCGACACACTTTTTTAAATCGAGAATTTTTTGGGACGCAGATTTTTCAAACTGCGTAGGACTCACATCAATCAGTGATGAAAGTATGGTAGCACGCATTACTAGGGATCATTTAGCAGTAAAGGATGATGTTTCCCAACTGCAATTACATCAACAGCTACAAAGTTTTGGTTTCAAAAAGGTGACGAACAAAACGAAACATTTATAGCTACTTAATTGCTTCAATTGGATGGAGCTACACAGGAACTCATCCTACGATCATATTTTCCCATGGTTACAGTCTTACCAGGTGAAGAAGTTCCTACCTACTTCACGCATCGAGCTTGGGGAAATTCCCTATCTTTCACTTTGCCTCAGAGCTCTCTTTCTCAACAAGTTCTGCGATTTAAGGTTTGCATTGTAGTTGAACCTATATGTTTAGACGAGTATTATTATCCCACAACCTTTCGGGTAGACTGGCTATTCAGAGGCGTAAAGGGTGCGGAAAGTATTGAACCAGTGGAGGACTTTGGCTTAGGTGACAGGGATCATCTGGTCGTGTTTAAACTTGATTACCTTATTCCATTTGGATTGTGTAACGAACATTACTGTGGGCAGGACATTTTTCTTCAGTTTACTAGCCTTTACAAAACTGTAGATAAACAGATGATCCTGCCCAATATAATCAAAGGATGTGGTATAAGAGTCTTAAATGCCTCTATAGATGCTAAAACAGAGTACAACCAACAGTCTGGAGAAAACAGTGATGCGTATGAGGTATGCTTTTGGCATAATTCTTGGATACACCATAGAAGTGAACTAATTTGATTTAACATATTGTTTGGTTCATTATGCAGGTCGAATTTGGATTATCTCAAAATCCTTCCGACTCAGGATCTTTAGCCCAGGATTCTGTCCTGGAAATGAACCTTTACGATTTCATTAAACGGATGTCAGCTCCAGATTTGGAAATTAGGTCTGCGCATGGAGAATCTTCGGACCAGGTTTCTCTCTTCTACATTGCTTTTGTTTTTCAGGATCAACTATATAAGGAATGAAAATAGGAAAAAAGATAGTTAGCTACATCAGAATACATTGATTACACATCTCAACTATGAAAATATGTAGCTAGCTATACAAACTATATGTATTGCATGCCCACATATATCAACTATATGTCGACATGTGGTCCACATCACAATCATTTTATTCTGGTACATCGTTCGTCGGGATCCGGCGTTGACCAACTTTGACCGGTGTTAACCAAAAATAAAAAATATTAAAATTAGTGGTATATTTAGAAATAATATTAGTGGTATATTTAGAAATAATATTTATTTAGTGGTATTCAAATGATATCCCAAAATTATATTATATATTAATTAAGTAAAGCAATATCTTAAATTTTATACTTTCCAACTAAAAAGGAAATGTTTTAGAAAAAAGATTTCTCTATTTTCTAAAACTCATGTAATTTATATATATATATATTATATACGTAAGAGTTAAGAATAAAAGTAAAATAAAAGAACTAACTAATTATAAGAATAAATTAACTAGAAAGTATTTTGTAATTATCTAACACCATAATCGAGTCAATAAGATAATAAATTGTTGATTAATTTAAAACTTTATTTTCAAAAGATAATTAATGCTTTTATTTTCACTTTTATATTAGTTTTGAAATCGAAAAATAACTAATTATAAAAAAATACATCATATAATACCATAAGAGTTTAAATACAATTTTTTAATTTAATTCAAAAAATTTTAAATTTTTTAAAAAGTTTAAAAAGTGTTATTTTAATATTTTTTTGGTCAATGTTGGTCAACGCCGGTCAATGATAGTCAATGCCGGATTCCAACGAATGGTGTACTGGAATAAAAGGATTGTGATGTTGACCATATGTCGACATATAGTTGATATATGTGGACATGCATTAGTTTGTGTAGCTAATAATACATTTTCATAGTTGAGATGTGTAGTCATCTATTCTGTCATAGTTCGTGTAGCTGGCTATCTTTTTCCATGAAAATATGTAACTGAATAGATGGTTTTATTTCATTATGCAGATGACAGAGGAAACAACTAAAGAATCTTTCAACCCACTCTCTGTCAATTTAGGAGCAATCCCAGGATTGACAGCTCAGAATGAAGACCTTTGGTTAGAGCAACCTCATTGCAGAGATTTAATTATGGTATCTTAAGAGTAGTTTATTAATTAATTGAATTAGTAGAGAGTATAAGATATGATTGCTTGTTATATGTTTTTTTGGTTGATTAATGGTAGGTTCTTAAGTATAGTATTTTAGGAAAAAAAATAATTATTAAAAACATAATAATATTATTGGATTATAAAAACTTTAAAATATACAAAACATAATAAGAATTTAATTATTAAAAACATAATAATATTATTGAATTATTAAAATTTTAAAACATACACGTATCTGTATCTTACCCTCTCTTCTATGAGAAATGAATTATTGTTTTTTTTTTTATTTCTTCTTCTAACCAATAGAAACGTGACATGTAGCTGTATCTTACCCTCTCTTCTATATCTTCTCCAAGATACGATATCTTGGTAATTAATTATGTTTTTGCTTTAAATTTTTTTGATTAATTAGCTAAGATATAACTTAAATCTCTGCAATGAGGTTGCTCTTAGGGTTAGGACCATTACAAAGAACTAACAGAAAATCGAATTCTGGTTCAAGGGCCAGACCGCAATAATATCGAGCTACCTAAACCTTAAAAAGGGCAGTTAATATAAAGTCTGTCATATTAAGATTTTTTTTTATGATATATATAAAAAATTATGTAATCATTTAAAAATTAGATAATATAGAAATAATCAAAATATTAAGTTTATTCTTTTTATTGAATTTACAAACGAAAATATATAAAACCTAATTATAAATTTATTTATCATTATACAGAAATAAAAATTATAAAAATGTAAAGTTCAAAAATGTAATAAATTTTAATAACATTAAATTTTACAAAAATTTAAGAATTTAAAAATAAAATTATTTTAATCAATCATTATTAGTCTCACTAAATTTGTGATAACATAAAACAAATATGTTGTCACTATATATACATTTATAAATCTGATATCAAATAGCAGATCTTAACCAATCGCCTTGGTCTAGTGGTAAAGGGAGGTAAGTCCCGCCACCTGAGTTCGAGTAGCATTGGCCACGGGGATTCGAGATTTAACATGGTTTTCCCTAGTTTTTTTTGGGCCTAGAAAGATTTTAGGATAATTCCTGAGTTATATATAAAAAAAAAATAGCAGATTTTTAAAAATAAAAACAAAGCTGTCATAACATCTCTAAATTTGCATTAACATAAAAACCAAAAATTGTCTCAAAATAGGTTATTCTAGCAATATTTAAAGAACTTTAACAAATAGCTCACGCCAAATAGAGTGTAGCAATTTTAGCCTCTTTCGCATATATTGTACCAAATTTTTTTATTGCTAGAATAACCTACGTAGGTTCTCCCATATATTGTAAAAAAAAAACGTTTTTTGGTTGAATAAATTTTACATTTCACTCCAGAAAAAAAAAATTCTAAAATAAAATATAAAAACTCACATTAGACATACAAGTTTGAAACTTGAGGGCATCTAATTATGGTTCTAGTTAAGATTATCAAAGCATAAGATAATTTCTTGTATTCGGATAAATTATTCCATTACTTTATATTAAGCACTGAAAATTAACAAACCAAAAGGGTACTTATTCTCCGGTGAGCCTGGGCATCCAATGCGGCAACGTTGTATTCGTATTCCGAATTAGGGTTCCGGCAGCTACTCCCTCCACTCCATTCCTTTGTGACGTTTCCCTATACATGATAAAATAAATATAACTCTAGGCTACTCATCACTGATTAAGGATACAAACTATAATATGTTAATGTTGATAATAAGTAACATTGCTTATTATCATTAATCAGCATTATCACATTAAAATTTCTGTTACAAATTCATCATAGTTATGTGAAATGAAACTATATAGTACCCAAAAGATATAGGAGGAGGAGGAGATATAGGTCGGGGAAGCGCTTGTGGTGATGCACATGGAGGCGTAGCCAAGTCATGCCTGAGGTTTTGTGGCTCAAAGTCTTCTCTTTGACCAGCCTGCCATATTGAATACTATTAACCATTTAAAGATTGATAAAGATTCAAACATAAATTATATATATATGTAAATGATTGTGAAATGTTAAACTAAAACCAAGACTACAGTCTCTCTTACAAAGTTATGTGAATTCTACATAAAATAAGATTCTAAAACAAGTTTCACCTTCTTTGTTAGTTGTTTCTTCAGTTCTTTTAGTTCCTTTTCCTATGCAATCAAAAGAGAACTTACACATTATTTAGTTTTAATCATTTTTGTACTCAAGTAATCATGATGAGTTTTGAAAAGTACAACCATAACAACGATGAAGTGTCTCCAAGGTTAGTATATTACCTTTTTCTGAAGTTGTGCTATGGACTCTATCATGAGCTGGTTCTGTGCTCCCAAACCAAAACAATAGCTACATGATTAGATGCAGTATATACTGTATCTATGCATACGCAGAGGATACAGACATACATATTTGTATATATATATATAGAAAAAAAAGAACCTTTCTAGAGCGAGTTTTTTTTAGGGCAGTATCAAGTTGCATCTCCAGACCCTGAAGCTCTCTGATACTTAGAGCATCCACCTCTTCCCCTTTTAAATGCCTTATCTCATAAAGTAAAGAAATAAAATAAGTGAAGATGCAATTTATTTTCTTGTGTATATTTACATAGGGATTATTACGAATTTTGTTATTTTCTTACTCAAATCTTGTGGATGTGCCATTTTCATACAACTCTTATATTTTTTCTATTTTGACAACATTTAAAAATGTACATATTTGATTTTTTTTTTTTTTTGCTGAAATACATACTTTATAACAAATATGAAAGACTAAAAAGAAATGCAATTTATTTTCTTTTGTATATTTACATAAGAATTATTACGGATTTTGTCATTTTCTAACATAAATACTGTATACGTGTCATTTTCGGATTTTCTAGTTTTAAACACTTAACAATGTACATATTAATGATTTATTTTGTTAAAATACATATTTTATAACAAATATTAAACACTAAGTAAAAATAAAACCCACTATATAAACTCTAACATAACGAGTATAATATATGTATTTTAATAACCTGAATGATACCAATTCTATAAGATTTACACCACAATGACAATTTCAAAAAGACCACTGAAAAATGGTGTTCTCATAATTGATTCATTAGATATCATATATTAATATGTATGCATGTATGTTTGATTTGATGATATATTTCTAACCTTACGCTTCTTTGCATGACATCAATCATCCTCAAGAGCCTAGAACATTCTGTTGAACATTCGCCCTACAAACAAGAAAAAGATAATGATTAGTTAAGTTTATTATAGGCAATTCTAATATATACTCATTTCATAAAAATATTGATTGATGAGCTAAGAACCTGTGAGTCTAGATTTGGTGTTGGAGTTTCTTGACCGGCGTATGAAGATCTCTCATATCGATCTAGAATTCTCTCCATGCTAAAATATAAAATCATTATATAAACCTAGAATCAACACTTGATGAATATACATACAACATATTGTACACTCCATTTTTGCATTTCTAGCACTATCTAAAACTTTAGTCTACATCTGCAAACCATTTTATACTATATAAGTAGATGAAGACTTTTAATTTATTTTTGAGACTATAGAAATTAGTAGCTGAAGACTAACTAATCAAATTTATCAAAACATATGTCATTTTTGAACATAATTAATACTTAAGCTGAGAAGCTAGAACACTAGCATCATGGGTTTTGCATATTTTTCTTGTTAGGATCGAGGTTAGTCCTAGGTTCGACCAACAAAAAGACAAAACAAAATGCACAAAGCTCCATGACAACGACTTGTCATGCTTCCAATTTCTAACAATATTTTAGCTGTATATCTTAAATTTTTTTTTAAAACATAATCAAAATCACAGTTTCATGTAATTACAATCATGATCGAAAGCTGACTCTTCCTATTTATAGTAGATTTGTTTTCCCTCTTTAGTATTTTTTGTGTACATTGAGATCATTCTTTCTGTATGTGGTTCACTTGAAATAATGATACTGCTTATCAAAAGACTAACATTAGAAATTATATGGACCTAGGACTTAATTAATTTTGGATGGTTTCATCACCAATTAGTCTATTTGGATTATGTTTTTTATATTATTTTGCAATTATTAGTTAATTTATGTTCATTTAATTTTTATATTGAATTGTCTGATATATAACTTTATGTTATTAACAGGATATGTTAATTTAGTTTAAACCTCATCAACAGTTTTTGTATAATATATACTTTTCAACATTTTATTTTTATTTCTAAAATTATTTTGATTCAAGATAGGTCTTTTAAAAAAACTTATATACTTAAATTATATCTTTCTTTGAAATAAATAAAATGAACTTCAATCTCCCATTAATAATAGCCAAAAGTAAACTACCTTTGAGCATTAGATCTACTGTAAATCTGAAATAAAAATTGTAGACTTTATATTAAATGTGAAGAACATAGAAATGAAATAAAGATCTCTGATTCTTCTAGGTATGTTCTCGAGTATAAAATCTTAATACACATATTTTTCAGGATAATATATATATGGAACTGTAATATTAATTATTTTTTTTTTTGCTTTATTATATATTGGATGATCACTTATTTTAAGATCTTCTCTAACTTATCGATGTAAGATCTAACATATGTATTTAAGTCTCATAGCCACATAATTGGCTATAAATTGATATATTTAATCAATCAATCTCAGCCAATTTCAAAGAAATCTTTACTAGGTGAAACCTACTACTTTCCCCAATCTGTCAAACATGAAATATAAGCTGATATATATATATATTAATTATCTAAGGAAAAATTCCAAACCTGGAACCAGCAGAGTACTCAAAGAGTTTGCCTTTAGGGGAGAAGACAATCAAAGCAACATCAGCATCACATAAGACTGAGATCTCTTGAGCTTTCTTCACCAAACCCGCCCTTCGCTTCGAAAATGTTACTTGTCTCCTTATCTTGTTCTCGATCCGCCTTAGCTGAACTCTTCCCCTTCCCATATCTACAATTTCTTCTCAGGTTTCTTGGAAACTAAAGAGAGAGCTAAAATAACACCTTGGAAATTTAACCACAAAGGAAGAAGAAATAGAAGAACTAGAAGAAGAAAACCCTAGATTCTCTTAAAAAGAAGAAAAGTGGAGGAAGATGAGAAATTACGCAAAGATTTGATATATGTTTCTATTTTTCTGAACTTATTCATATACATATATTTATACACACAAAAGGCATAAAAATGGAGGAAAAAGAGAAAGAATCAAATGATACAATTAGGGAAAGTAATATACTTATATATGTCTTTATGTCCAAGATAGTCTTGACGATCAATTATTATTATTAGAGAATGAAGTTAATAATTAAACCCTTTTACTAATTCAATATGAAACCAGTAATTTTCAAGACCAAAATTCTACTAACAAATGCTGTGACACCATTGGTTCTTTTGACCATATGACATAAAGTATAAGAATGGATAAGAAGATGCATATTAAAATATCAATAAAGAACTTGACCTATCACAATGATATCCACCACATGATGATAATAATTCATCTATTTCTATACATTAAAGACAAAAAATTTTAAAACCCTTAAATGGTATTATACAAAAGAATTGAGTTAAAAAAAAAAACAGAAAGCCAAAGAATGACCAAAACTTATTGAACGTAATAAACATTTTCATTTTAATAGAGGAGACAAAAAATTTCTGTCGCATTATGTTCATAATTGTTAAACATTATGTTTATTATTTACGGAAATAAGTCGTATTATTTGTACATCTATAAGACTATAACAAATATGGAATTACCAACAAATACATGGAAATAGATTTTAGAAAAATTAGATTATAAAATAAACAATAAATATGGACTTATCATCGATTTTAATTTTTTTTACTATACACTGCAGCATGTTGCATCTTATTTCATTTATAGTCTAGTATACGGGCTTACGCTCGACTACACGTGTACATTAGGGACGAAGATACTAATTTCGACCCTCTAAAATATAACCAAGAATTTGATTGACCGGAAATAGGAAAAACGTCAAAAAAATCCCGAATAACGTTAAAACAAGAAGTTATTTTAGTTACACATTTTATTTTTTTGAAAATTAGTTAGGTTTCATTGATGACCTTGCTGATTTAAGCACGACGTTTAATATATATTAAAATCTCGAAGACGAAGTTAACTTCCGCAATGTATAACATAAAATCAGCAACGACGTTTAATATATATTAAAATCTCGAAGACGAGGTTAACTTCCGCAATGTATAACATAAGTTATATGATACACATACCATGAGAGAAGAATACACCAGAATGTTTAGTCCAACGAATGACCACAATATAACAGAAGCATCGATGAAGCTGTCTCTCTTCGATGTTTTTTTTTTCATTTCTTTTTTTTTTTTTTTTTTTCTAGAAAGGGTTTCTCTTCTATGATATTTATTGTATTCTAAATTCTGAACCTCTAAAATATAAACAAGAATTTAATTGACCAATACATAGAAATACTATTATATTATTTTTCTGAAAATAGATTACTGTTTTTTATAATAGTAAAAATAAAAACAATAGAATTAGTATAAGTTATCTTAATAATATCTTCTGTAAGAAATTATATATTTTGTTGTTTGGTTTTTGCAGGAAACGGTTACATAGATAAATTTAGATTTTGAAAATGATCAAGCATGTTGGCTAAATAGATTAGTGAGGGTTTAATAAATAATGAATGATGTTAAAGGTAAATTGAGTGAATACTTACTGAGAGTCTAACATTGAGAAATCCAAATTTACGCGAATTAAACCTTAAATAATCATTCTAGAACATGATGATTCTAAGTAGATACTAATTTTTAATTTTGCATGAATTTCGTTTATCAAATATGTGTATATATAAATATTTTAAAATATTACTGGAAGAATTAGAGAAATCAGTCTAATCTTTTTCAATTTGTAGATTGGATATATATAATAAATTGTTTTTATTTTATTAAATTATGTTAGTGGTAAATTCAACAATTCCTTTCCTTCCACCATCCAAGTGATATTTTTTAAAGTGTTTCAGCTTCGTCAAACTACCACAAAAAAACTCTCAAATCAAAAGTTTTGCAAAAGAAAAAAGAAAAGTATCCTAACTTCATATCAGTTTGGTTTTGTAATTTCGCAAAACTAGAATGCTAAGTTAGAAATTTAACCAATGTACTTTGTTATTTTTGAGTTCTTAAGAACTTATTTGAACCTCATACTTTATGAAGCCCTAATTTTCTGAATATGATTCGAGATTAGTACCGATGGAGTTTCATTTTCATGAGCAATCATCAAAAGGAGGCAGAGATTGATATTTTAAGATCGATTTAATAAGAACAAAATTTTGTTTAAGCAAAATTGAGCATAAGAAAAACCACATGCTAGTCTTCCAAAACATATATACAGTAACTACGATTGCATGTATTGATGTATATGTTTAGACATGTACTCGTACGTTTCTATGTTGTATAAGAATCCAAGAGAGACTATATATACATTTACATATGTAATGGTCATTTATAGAAAATAATGTAAGTGCCTAGTTCTCTGTATATACGTTCGTTCCTAAAGTAGTGGTCCATTGCAAATAAAATATAACTTAGCTTGGGGTAATGGGATTTAGTACTAGATTAGTAATAAAAACTTGAGCGCGATAGACCTTTCATGGGTTCACTTTCAAATGTGGTCAGTTGCAATAAAATATATTGAAATTTAGTTACTTTTTGTTTTTGTAAATTCATATATTTAGTGTACTATTACCAACTTATATAATGAAAGATTATGGCTATGGGGACCATAATGCATAAATTAGGCTTCCAAATTGTACTAAACCCTAATATTCAAATCTCACGCTGAGTTTTCAAAGGTTGGGGACCATCCGATTTCGCGGTCACAATAATAATTTTTTTTTAAAAAAAAAGTAGTAAATTTTGTAAGAAAATTTAAAAGATAATAGAATTTTAGTTAAACAAAGAAAAGTTAAAACCTCAGAAAATACGATATATATTTTTACATTAGTGGGATTATAAGATATGGGTTACTAGGATGATAGATGACATGCTCTTTGGGAAACAACTAGTGGGTATAGAAAATATATATTTGAAGAATCAAGTAGATGTGGTACCACAAATGTAGGCCAAAGGGGAACTCTTACACGATGTCGCAATTCTTAAGACAAGTTTGTATTTTGTAATTGACCCTTTGATGAGATTTAGGGACATGGCTCTTTTTTCTTTAAATTCCCAATGCTAAAGTAAAATTTTAAGTTCTTTGCAGTTGAGGAAATCACGCAAATATCCAGTTCTGAATCGGTGGTTATTCCAATCACACGAATTTTAAATTCGTTGGGTTTCTGTTTGTATTTCCTTGTTGTTTTTGTTGTACGTTTGATGTGTTCTTTAGTTTTCTATATTTTTCTCCTACTTGTATTTTTCGGTAATTTTTTTAAAACAACTAGCAAAAATGGTATAAATATAACGATCAACAACAATATTTGATCTATAATATGAGGGTTTGGATTTTCCCAAAAAACAAATATGAGGGTTTGAATTACATATAACGATCCGACAACAATATTTGATTTTAAGTGATACGTGTAACTTCTGATGCACTCTGAATTGTGGTGTAGAATGTTGATGCCAATACGAACAATTAATTTTTTAGACTAATCTGGTTTTAAATTTGGTTATTAGACAATTTTATGTTTACTTATAAAACCCTAGCAATTTATTAGAGGAAATAAATAAACTTTATGTATTGAAAACTTATTATGGTTGAACTATCGTATTATTAAGCTTATTGGATTAAAAAACAGTTTTAAAAAGCAGAACTTCTTTAATATATGAACACATAACAAGAAAAAAAATTCTAGATAGTATATATTATTTAATAATTGGAGGATGAAAAGATTCTTATTCCCAATTGAAAAATAGATAGTTGAGGATTGGGGAAGATGCTTTGCATATAATTGGGCACCATTCTTGCATGCTCCAATTTGCACCATCAACCTTTTTTCAACTTTTATTTTTCTTTTTTCAATTTGCACAACAATAATTATGAATTGATCCTAAGTGGGGTATAGGATGGCAACAAAAGACTAAACTATTGAAACCATTGGCAAACTTACAACGTTTTATATACAATAAGAACTTACAACAATGCATCAACCTTAAGATATCAATTAAGGATAATTCGGTATGACCAAAATTTAACTGTAATAATATTTTTAACCGTAACTGGACGGTCTCTCAACCATAACTGGACCATAATCGTATAATACATTTAAAAACCGTAATCATTAACTGTAATAATAAATCAATCACGGTTTTTAAAAAATACTTACCATAATCGATATTAACTGTACCGTATCAAAACCGATGGTTAACTGTATGGTTAACCACATAATTTACCGTACAGTCAATCCTTTTAATTTTTAAAAAATATTTCATTAAAACAATGTTTTTAATGGTTTGATCTGTCAGCTGTTAACACTGATCCACTCCACTACTCATTTCCATGAATCAAATAAAAATGATTTTAATTATTTGTAGGTCCATAACCATTAATTTATTTACTTGTATCAGTTGTGTTTGATTAAGAAAAAATTATTTATTTAACTAATTTACTATAAATATTTGAATCATATAATTAAATTTATTTCATATTGTAAAATGTATATTATTTGATATGGTAAGAACAAAACAGCTAAGAAAATATTTTTAGTAAATAATATGATTTAGGAAGTTTTGGAAGAAACTATTAATGGTTAGCAAAATAAGAAACAGTAAGATTTAGTTGGGAAGTTTCCTTGTAATGTATTCGCTAATAATAAACGAGATGCATTATATATGCACCTACAGGTTACACAAACTATGTTGTTGTCTCCATTACCTACCCTATATAGTAAAAGAGAAGTACATTTTTATATGGGTAATAATGAGTCAGGTCAAAAATTAATAATTAACCCGAAA